CCAATTGCCCCTTGCATCATTCTGTGACATGAAATAGGCTTGTGACCCACAAGCTCAAAACCAGCTTTCAGGACAGTAGGTTTTAGTTTATATCTTGGCTCAAAACATGCATTTTACAGCATTTCAACAGGGAATGAATCCATAGAAACAGCCTTGTTTTCCAAAACTTCTCTCCACTCAGTAGCTGAAGATTTTAGTTTTGCTCCAGCCCTCTAATAAAACTCAGATATTTTGCTTGAATATCCGAGGTTGTGCATTTGGTGTTACCCTCATCGCTGCGTGCCAGAAGACACGCTGGACTTGGAGCTGTGTGAGTTGGATCGGAGAGACAGAGGAATGAGAGTCCGCTCCCATCTCCAAACACAAGAGCTTCATAAGCTCTTCCCTGACAGACCAACCACGACGTCTCCGACCTGACCGCCACCACATGCCTGCTGAGAAGGGAAGGGGAAGCATGGAAATGAGCTGAGGGATCTTTTCAAAGCTGCATTCTTTACCGCTTAGATTTTCTATCGCACAAGCCGAGTCTATGATTTACATTTTTTCTTTAAAGTCAGTGAAAGGAGCCGCATTTTTGTTTTAATAAAACGAGACAGAGGTTATTAGATTCCATTTTGCCATCACAGCTTCTGAATATAGTAAATGACACAAGACAAATAGGTTTTTCTTTCACCCTCATTTCCCTCAATTTGTATACAGTCTGCTCTGCCATCTTATATGGACCTGCTCAAATAGAGGCTTTGGTGAACTTTTTAATTGACTATATTACATCTTTCTGAGTCCTCTAAGAGAGGATAAAGATCAAGACAAAGAGAGTAATCCAGTTTCTTAAAAGCCTTGGGTGCCTAAAATACCTCATGATTATAATAAACACCAGAAATCACCAAATCCGAGTCGGAACAAAGCAAATGGATACATTTTCTCCATTACTTTCTTGTAGGAATTACTAAATGCACACATTTTATAAATAAAAGTATAAAATTTAAGGAATAAAATATTTTAAATACCATAGGTTCTTTTTGGTTCCCAGAAACATCTCTGAGACATGAGAGCTGGCAACATCTGATGATCCAGCAATTGTAGAAGGGGATTCAGGATGAAAACAAGCTGAAAGTCTCACAAATAATCAAAGTTTCTATTTTCCTTCCAAAACAGCTTTTCGGCTGTAGGAATATGTTGAAATCATCTGTTTCTAATTAGACATAGGACTGTTTTTGTTGTTACTTTGTCCATTTTCAGACATTATAAAAGGCCTGTTCATCTCTGAGGTTGCATCTCAACATGAGTTTTATGGATCTCAGCATGTTAATTTTCTGTATTTTTATGGGGCAAAGTACAGTTGTCATTTTTTCCTGGTTGTGTGACTCTGCAGTAGCAACCAGTTACATTGTATCCAGTTCACTAGTGAGACAATTGTTGAGAATATGCAAGCTTTTTATTTATTTCATTTTTTGTAGTTTTAGTCTTGCGTTTATACAGAAATTTTGATTTGAGAGTTCGAAAAATGTGTTTTTCTTTACTTAGGTTAGGTTTATTTGTCATATGCAAAATCAACACAAGGTCAACAATGCAATGAAATGCTTGGTACGAGAAAAACTATCTCGACTCGCCAAAAAACAAAAAAAAAAAAAACAACAACAAGAAATTTCAAAGCATGCAGCAAAAATACTAAAAACATACTAAAAAATACAACTAACACACTAAAAAAAACGTTAAAAATACTACTAAAATACTACAACATATTAAAAAATACTACTAAAATACTAAAAAACAAGGTGCCAAAGTTGAAAAAGAAATACATCTATAATATGATTCAATTAGCAGTGAGGTTTTTTTTTCCAACATCAAGGTTCTGTTCTGTTAGTGGCGTGGTCTTGTTAGCAACTTATCAGGTTTTGTTAGTAGATCCGGTCAGCAGCTTGATGGTAATAAGGACCGCAGCAGCAGCCCTCGCAGACCACAGTCCAGAACCAGGTCCGGCAGACAGAGAACATCCAAGGTTTCCCTGTGGAACCAAACGGCTCTGTAGAGTTCGGTCTGTGCAGGCAGATGGAGGATAGCATTAGCAGCATTAGCAACATTAACAACGTTAGCAGCATTAACAGCATTAGCAACATTAACAACGTTAGCAGCATTAGCAGCATTAGCAGCATTAGCAGCATTAGCAGCATTAACAGCGTTAGCAGCATTAGCAGCATTAGCAGCATTAACAGCGTTAGCAGCTGATATAAAAAATGTTTTATAAGGTGTTAAGTTGCCTTTATGCCTATTCAAACATATACATTTTGTGTGTGTTACTTATTATTGCCATAAAAGCAAGGGTGGAATGATATAGAAATGATTATTTTAATGCTTTTTATGTCAATCTATACCTATATTACACTTATTTAAACACACTTATACTCACTTTTGATGCAGCTTATCTGCTTATTCAGTCATTCCTGTGCTGCAGATGCGTTTTGGAGTAATTAAAGTTCTCTGGGGATGCTCTAGCCAGAAGATCGGGCCCAATCTTCAGGTTACAGTGACCCAGGTTTTGAAGGACATGTTTTTTATGAAACCATCGCTCTGTTGCACAGACTGCTTTGATGAAGGAAAAACAGATTTAATTAAATCTGTCCTCCTGGCAACCATCAAAACTTGCTTTGATCTGCTCTCACGCGGTCCGGTCAGGGAAGAAGGTATATAAGAAATGTATCAAACAACTTAATCTTGGGAAGTCCTGCGATGGATCAGCACGCGCGCTGGTGCCATACGCCATTTTTGATGTGATTCTTCTTTACCTGGGTCGAAAACGACTTCCCGGCCAGTGTCACGGTGAGAAGTTATTTCATATCAATCTGTGTGTTAAGAGTGTACATGTTTTTTGCTTGGCTGTTTTCTGTGGTAGGATAATAAAGGACACTTATTACTCCTAGCAGTAACAGCTTCTGTCTTTCATTTTTTTCCTATTTGTCTGAATATGTGCCGACCGTTTCACGAGCCCTTTTGATAAAGAATTTCATAATACAGCAGCATTAGCAGCATTAGCAGCATTAGCAGCGTTAGCAGCGTTAGCACAATTAGCAGCATTAGCCTGCTTCCAGAGTGAACAAATCCTAAAACGTCACCTTTGTGTTTTCATGTAGACAGACAAAATGCAAACTTTTGCAACCAACAACGTCGAAACCCTTACCTAGGAGTGTTCTCTTTGTATTGGGTTTACCTTGTGCACCTAGAATGTATGTTTTAGGTGCATGTTTAAACAATTATTCATGATTATTGTGGAAACAACATCCATTACATATAGGCACAATTACTCAAAATTTGGATCTTTTTGGTGTTTATGTGTGGATGAATACATTTTTGGAAACAACTATCTTGTGGTTACAAGGCTATTCTTAGGCTAGACCAATAGTAAAATGGTTTAAGAAAAAAAAATTATTATTTTTGTGAATAAGGCCTGAGGTGAAAAGGCTCATTTTTGTCTTCATTTAGTAGCACAAAGCCATCAGAAATCATATATACATTCCCAATGTCATGGAAGAAAAATTAGCATGCTGCCTGTCAGCAGCCTATGCAAGTTTGTCATCTCAGCCACAGAAATGACCATCTTAGTCTTTTCAAACAGTTCACAAGAAATTAAATACATCAATTTCAGCACTGTCTGAAGAATAAGAACTCACAGCAAAAAAATTGGTCATCCAACAATTTTAAGCAGATTAGTCTGTTTGGTGTTGTTGTTGTTTTTAATACAGACAAAATTTTGTGGGAATAATGGTGTTGGCAGCATTTATGCTAGATCAGCAGTTCCTAAAGTTGGGGTTGGAACCCCACCATTAGTCACAAAACATTAAGTGTGAAGTTTTGACATAATGTCTAAAACCAAATTTAGATTGACAAATAATTGCTCATAATTTTTAGTCCATGTTATGAGAGATGGAATGTGTTGTATTGTATTAAGTTGTTAAATTGGCTCTAACTGTGTTTTTTTGTCATTATGCTCTTATTAAATTGACCTTATTGCAATGATTACACACTTCAACTAATAATAGCTGGGTTTACAAGTTTCTGCTGCTCATGTTTTGTGACCTGGAAGCTAAAATGTTTGGGAACTACTGTAGAAGACTGATGCAAAGGCTTAACATATATGTCTGTATCACTGATAAACATTGGTCACATAATTAGTTTCATTCATTCATCCATCCATCATTTTTACCAGCTTCTTCCTTTCCGGGTCTTTGGGGTTGGGGATGGTTTGCAAGTCCATCACAGGGACACATAGAGACAAACAAGACAACCATTCACATTCCAACTCACAATTTAGAGTTCCCAATCAGCCTAACATGCATGCTTTTAGTCTGTGCGAGGAAACTGGAGTACCTGGAGAAAATCCATGCATGCGCAGTGAAAACATGCAAATTCCACCCTGAAAGGTCACTGGCCGGGATTCAATCTGGCAACCTTCTCGCTGAGAGGCGACAGCTCTACCAACTGTGCCACGAAGTCACCCACCAAAATAGTTATTTACTATATTTAAACCATAACAAGACTTAATACAAATGTAAACTCCAACTGTAAGGTTATAAAGGAATAATGGTGTCACTGCAATGTAGCTCTTCCAGCAGAACACTGTAACACAGCAAGGAATAAGAGCAACAGTTTAGGAGGAAGCAGCGGATGAGAGGAAATTACTTTCCTGATGTTAATATACCCTTGTGGTTTTTCTTACTGTAGCTGTACACAGGCTCTCACTCCCCGTCTGCACTGACATGGTCGCTTCATCAGTGCCAGCAGTTAAGGTCATGTTTATCTCCCTGTAATCACAGATTTAGGCCTCTAATTACAAAGCAAAAAGAACAGGCCCTGAAGGCAAGGGGTGCAACTTCAAATGAACGGGCTGAGAACATTACAGATTAATTATTTTATATATACAATGAATAGGGTGAATTGCTTGTACATTGCACATGGTGGAATTACAAATTCATTTGTTTCTCTTCTTATTTTTTCTTTTCAAACAGGAGTTTGATGCCCCGTACTTTGGAGGGTCAGATCACCATGGAAAAGACCCCAAGTTATTTCGTCACCAAAGAAGCTCCCCGCCGTGTCTTCTCCATGAGCCGCCATACCAAACTTATTGTGGTGGTGCGCGACCCTGTGACTCGGGCTATTTCCGATTACACTCAGACTTTGTCCAAATCTCCTGGGCTTCCATCCTTCCAGAGCCTGGTCTTCCGCAATGCCACCACGGGGCTCATCGATACGTCTTGGAGCGCCATACGCATTGGCATCTACGCCAAGCATTTGGAGAACTGGCTGCGCTACTTTCCGCTCTCACGTTTCCTTTTTGTTAGTGGGGAACGCCTCGTGACGGACCCGGCTGGGGAGATGGGCCGAGTCCAGGACTTTTTAGGGCTCAAACGTGTGGTCACAGACAAACACTTCTACTTCAACCAGACCAAAGGTTTCCCATGCCTGAAGAAGCCCGAGGGGAGCAGCAGACCCCGCTGCTTGGGCAAGTCAAAGGGAAGACCCCATCCTCAGATATCATCTGAGGTCCTACTCAGGCTCAGAGATTTCTACAGACCCTTCAATCTCAAATTCTACCAAATGACTGGGCACAATTTTGGCTGGAACTGAAAGACTTTCACCAAAGCTGTTCAAATCCATCAGCACCAGCCTTGTTGTGTGCGCCTTCGACTGTATGAACATGCCTTTCCGTCAATCTAAGCAAGAATCGAATGGCAACACAAATGTCCTTCTGGATTTACTAAAGCCTTCTTAAGAAAATTTGTTAAAGCTATGTCTTTTCAGCCTTTTTAGCAAAGAAAAAAATCCTAAATGTAAGTTCATAAGAACTTTTCTGTGATACAAACACAAGCCACATGACAGATGCACTTTTCATTTGTCCTGTTCTAAGCATTTTGGTGTCTGAAGTTCTTGAATTATGTTGAACTCCAAATCACGTCAAGAAAACACCTTATGGCACAAACAGTGGAAAAACAGTGCTGCAATGCATTGTGACCACAGTTAATATAAGTTAAAGAGCTAACAAACCTTGTTCTGTTAGGACATATGATTTGTTTAAAAAAAAATCATCAATATTTTCAGTTGAACTCCGTAAATTACATGAAATGTTTATGCAGAATATACATTTAATGGAAACTCTTCTTTTCTTAAACAGGGATGCATTACCTGGTATCTGGGTGCAAAAAATATAGTTCTTGTGTTCATTTGCTATTATTTATGTCTTCAAACTGTTGCTTTGCATATTTGCAGACCTAAAAATAATATTTGCATTTTTTTAAATAACTCTTACTTTTTCCACAAATGGTACTAACACACAACTGTGTCTTTTTTTATGCCTAATTTATTAGACAACAAACTGTTGGGGTGATGTTTTCTGAGACTTTTGTATTTAATAATGTTGAAAATTCTGACTAAATGTTTGATTTTGAAGCACGTATTGAAGTCATTTATTTACTGCCTTTCTGAAGTGTTCTTACTATGTTCTCTTTGTTCTGAATCCAAACAAATTGACTTTGCTGCTGCCAAGAACGTAACGTGCATACATCTGTTGGACAGATGAATTCTCTTCTGCAGAAAACTAACAGATACATGGTGACCAGAACAGAAAATGCAATTAATCACTTTTGCATGATTTCATATGTAAAGTAAAGCTTATATTTATTTACAGAGAAGTTCCTGAAATGATGTGTTAAACTCTTGACACCTTTGAAAGTAACTCGGCACTGAATATATATTATTGTCCTTCACTGCTGCATTCCTTGTATAATATGGAAGAGCCAATGATTTTAAATTGTGCTAAATGGAACAGTCACTGTCTATCCATTGAATTCTGCTTATCCATGGTCAAGCTGCAGAGCAGGTCCAGGATGGAAACCTAGATTCTTCTCTCCCCAGTAACACTCCTGCTCATCCTGGGGATGTGTTCCCAGGTCAGATATATAATCTCTCCAGCAAGTTCTGGGTCTGCCCAGTCTTTTCCCAGTGGAATGTGCCCAGAAGACCACCTAGCCTGATGCCTGAACCACCTCAGATGAATCCTTTTAATAAAAGAAGCAGAGATTCTGGGAACTCTCCTGGATGATGGAATAATCATCCAATCAGAAGTGGCCCTCCAGTAACACCTTGTTTTTTATCGTCCAATCAGATGTGGCCCGCCAGATAAGCTTCCGTATTGGTCTGCAGAGATACCTACTTGGATAATTTAGAACAGTAACTGTCAGGAAAATTAACCAATCACAATGTAGAATGGGCGGGACCAAACTACAGTGGCACGCCTGCAAGAATCCCTTGCTTGCTGTCCTGAGACTGTTGTTTGTGTGCAACGCTTTTGAGTTTTAAGTAACTTTGAGTTTTTAAACTTTTAAACTTTTAAAGCAAACACTAATGAAGTGGCTATCTTGTTAACATATTCTTTTACAATGTGATCTTTTTCAGAGTTCAATATTTTATTCCAAAAACGGAAGACCAGCAGTGGAACTGATAGAAAAACAAATGTGGTCAGAGATGTTTTGAAATGGACTTTCCTCAAAGTTACTCATCTGCTTGTTTTATTTCACTACGGACGAATCATCATCAAAGCTGGATTTGTTAATCTGATAAGAGTCAAGCTACGGTAAAGTTAAACGGTTTTGGAACACTGGATTGGATCATCAGCTGGAGAAGAAGCACCACAACCAGATTCTGTCTCATTATAAGGTCAGGAAATCAGACACTGAATGTCTTGTGTTCATGTGTTTCTGGGAACTCAACATGAGTTAAAATAATAATATTGCACTTCTATATATGAATAATTTTTGACCATGTGAAGATATGTGATGCATTAATTTGCAACCGGTAAATTTGAAAATCCACACTGAAATTGTAGTTGCTCTCAGAGATGAAGGTTAAAGATCCCGTTTAGGTTTACAGTGATAACTTTCAATATTACCGCTGTATTTTGATTCGTTGTGTGATGACATTTTACAGAAACAGTAAGTTGTGGGCGTTACTGTTCCATTTTAGTCCCATTTATTGAAATTACATGTTATACTTGAACGCAAGAGACTGGGTGAGCCACAGGGGCTGCTGGGTAGTATCGAGACAGAAATGGGTGAACTTTTTCAGGTTGTGTTCAGATGGGTTATCCCTCTTTGTTCTGTTTAGTGTTGGGTTGGCATTTATGTTTGGGTTGTTCCTAATGTATGTAAATACAGTATATACAGCAAAAGGGGCAAAGCACTTCCTGCTTAGAGAGTGTCTGAATTGAGAAACTGAACTTGAAATGACGTGATAGGTTATGGAGTGCCAGTTGTAAAGTTGCACAGTCACAATGTCATTCATACATTTATAAATGTCATAGTTCCCAACTAAATATTTAATTTACAAGATAAATATTTAGTTTACTAACTAAATATATAACTTGCAAGTTAAATATTTAGTTAGTAAACTAAATATTTAGGTGTAAATTAAATATTTAATTTATACCCAAATATTTAGTTAGTAATCTAAATATTTAGTATAAATTAAATATTAAATTTAACCTAAATATTTAGTTTATTAACTGAATATTTAATTTCTAAGTTAAACATTTAACTCCTAAACTAAATATTTGATTTTCTAACTGAATATTTAGCTCATACCTAAATATTTAACTAGCAAGTTTAAATATTTAGCTAACAAGTTAAATATTTAACTAGCAAGTTAAATGTTTAGTTAGCAAATTTAATATTTATTTTGGATATTAAATGTTTAGTTTGTAAAATATATATTTAGGTCCAAGCTAAATATTTAGTTAGCAAATTAAATATTTAGTTTAGGAATTAAATGTTTAGCTTAGAAATTAAATGTTTAGTTAGTAAACTAAATATTTATCTTGTAAATTAAATATCTAGTTGGGAACTATGACATTTATAAATGTATGAATAACATGGTGAAAATATGACTTTATTAAAAGCTAAATAAACCAAAATATTGATGTTAATTTTTGACTGTGCAACTTTACAAACAGCACCCCATAATAGGTATGCAACTCTGTGTCTTCAAACTTAACATTTAGCAGATTGTAACAATATACTGTATTGTCCAAGCAGAAGACCCAGCAGTCATTGTCACAATTTGCCACTGTATTCAACAAAAATCAAAAGCTTGTAACAAATTTAAATCCTTCACGCTTCTACAGTACTGTTTGATGCTAATACCTCAAAATCTGTCGGAGATTGTTCAACTGAAAGACAAAATGGCTTCAAAATAAGGACTTCTGTTCAAAATGTCCAACTTCCTGTTTGTTCCTGTATATTAATACAAGAAATGTTTTTGTAGATCTTGAGGAGCAATGTGTATTCCAGTTTTTATATATGTGCATGTCAGTAGAAGATGGGCATGGTTTGTTTAGAAATTTCTAGTGGGCACCATGTAGCAGTATTTGTGCACTCTTCATTCTCAAAATGTATGAATCTTCACCGGTTTCCTCACATTTCAGGGTACGTTAAGGCCTCCAAAAAGATCATTCATTTGACATAAGTATAATATAAATCCACTGCAATTTCAAATGGCCTTCACACTGCCAAACACAGACCCAAAAAAGGACTTGTCGAACTAAGCGGTAAAGAAAATAAGAATGCTTGTTTGAAAGAGCTTCTAAGTAAAGGGGTTGCTATTAACAGACTGCACCATTTATGACTCAGGGAACACGTTAACAAAAATTGTATAAAATGTCTTATGATAAATTGCTCAAGCATCTTTTCTTCTTTTGCTTAGGATAGTTTGTTGAAAAACCAATACATTATCGCCACCTATAAGGTTGGAGTGTAAATTGTAAACCCCTGATTTGATGTGAGTGCTGCAGTGAGAAGCAGGTTGATGCCTCGACAAGTCACTTGAGCGGTGCGTAGACTGAACCAAGTGGTGGGAATGGGCTACATTTTAGAGGATTCAGGAGTGCTGAAGGCATTTTGAGGGTAATTTTCAAGCTAACTCGGGCCAGTGGCCTTTTTGATGTGTGGCTGGTCGATTTACTAGAGCGATTGGAGAATCTTTGACCTCTCCACTGCCCTCTGACCTGTGAGTCAGGTTGCCATAAAGTGCTGACTGCTACGACCGCAGTGCTTAATGGAGTCACTCTGCATGAGCCATGAGTGTGGATGGATGCTTTCACACACACATACACACAAACACACACACTTATGCACAAGTAATCACAAACAGAGGCATGCAACAATTCCCTCCTGATTCATTAATATTGCATTCTCAACCTCTTGGACCTCCACTGAGGAGCGAAGGTAGGGATCAATAACTGTCTGTTTAGTTTATAGGTGGGGGATATGTGCTCATAGCTACCATGCTCTAGTGTCATTTTGATTTAAACGCTAAGGTCGAGCACAGGTCGCTATCATATATTTGTAAAAAAAAAATAAATTTAGCACCTGATTTTTCTTCCCTGTGTAATCAATGCAGGACCTGAACACTAATGCTCTGTGGGGCGTTCATGTATTTTGGATCAGATTATAACTTTAATTTCTCCAGAGCTACGTAGTCAGAATGGTGCATCCATGACATCCATCTCATCTCTTATTAATAAAGCTGAAATGCTACGTTCATTAGCGAACAATGTCACATAAGTACCCATAGTTGAC